TATTTGACGGGGCTCGTGCGAGTTTAGGAATTAGCCGCCATGGCGGGATGTGCACCGCATGGTATTATTTGTCAGGGATCGTGCGAGTTTAGGAATTAGCCGCCATGGCGGGATGTGCACCGCATTGTATTATTTGACAGGGATCGTGCGAGTTTAGGAATTCACCGCCACGGCGGGATGTGCACGGCAGGGTATTATTTGACAGGGATCGCGCGAGTTTAGGAATTAGACGCCATGGCGGAATGTACACCGCGTGGTATTATTTGACAGGGATCGTGCGAGTTTAGGAATTCGCCGCCATGGCGGGATGTGCACCGCATGGATGGTGGAGGTTTAGGAATCAGCCGCGCACAAGAGCCGCGCACAAGGGCTTTAAGGATTTGCATAGTTGTATGCTCTTAGTTCTTAAGTTGTCGAATCCAACCTTGTCGCATTCCCGATGGCTCGCAGGATGGACGGCGGTGCCTTTCAGAACGGAGCTCCCGCCGGAATTGCAGGCCCATAAGGCCTTAGGGACGTTCGTCTTTCCAGGAAGGCACTTCGTGAATACGAATGCCTTGTAGGGACTCGTGAGGAGGGGAGTTGAAACGGGAGGGTGTGGAGCAGCATCGTCGGCACATCTTGGTTTCCATCTGTAACTCCCTGCTTGCGTCTATGGGTACCTCATACAGCGCAGTGGTGTGGCGGCAATCGCGTTTTAAGGTTGACAGTTGAGGCTTGGTGTCCGTTCCCATGTTCTCCTTCGGAAGGAAAATGTTAGTTATACGTTTGTGAAGCAGGAGAAGGATTACGCCACATCGGCCGACCGCTATGGTGTCTCGCAGGGAAGCGTCTCGGGCGCCCGGGCACTGTTGGCAGTGGGGCAGCGCTCACAAGGAAGCGTGACCGGGGGTGGGGGGCAGGGCACGATAGAAAACTAAAGAGCAGCGGCCCCAAAGAGGACCCCAAGAGGACCCCCTCAGAGCCCACGACTGCCCCTGAGTGTTCGAGCACGGCCCTCGACGGCCCCAAGACCCAAGGACGGTCTCAAGACGTTTTAAGAGGCTCTCAGGAGATCGTCTAGGGTTGATACCGCATCTTCGAACGCCCATTGTTTTGACCCCACGGGGGAATTGAGGATTGGCCGATTCTTAAAAGCCTGGAGACCTTCAATGGTCGGCGTATTTCGCGCGGCGTGGGCATCCGCAAGTCTCGGTTTTTGTCGTCGTGGAGGAGGAGACGCAGGAGCAGGAAGAGGAAGAAGGCAGGGCAGGAAGAGGAAGCGGAGGACGAAGACGTGGACGAGGAGGAGGTTGGGGAAGAGGTGAGGACGGACCACGCGAAGGAGAAGGTTCGGTGGAGTCGCTCTGTCCCTCTTCATTCCTCGTCGCCGCTGGATCGCCGAGCGGGGTCGCACGTGAGGCTCGGCGTGCCTGATGCTGCACCCGACCTTCTCCACGCGTGTGCTGCACCGCTCGCCGGACTCGCATGCGAAACAACAGGGTTCTAACAACTGTACGTTGCACAAACAGGACCGAAAACGAAATCCCTCAGAGGGGTCCGAGAAAAGTGCGGGCGCCAGAGCTGGACGCACTACTGGAATCGGCGTGACGTTTTTGAGATTTCAGCATAGCTGCTTCACGAATGGTGTTCTCGCTTCCGTGTGGCCTACTTTCATGGTCCCAGCGGCCACGAGCTTTTGTAAAATATACTCACCGTACTGCTATTGGGTTGCCGTCCCAGGTCACAAACGTATTGCAGAAGCATTGGGTTCTCACCTTTCCAATTCTGACGGGTCACGAACTCGCGTCTGTAGCGTCGCCAGGTCGCGAAAGTGCAGCGCCGTCGGATTCTGACCAAATGAGTCGTCCCAGCTCACGGAGATGTGGCGAGGCCGTACGATTGTCACCATGTGAGGCCTCCCACGATACGAACCAGGTCACGAACGCGTGGTGAACCCATTGGATTTTCACCGTTCGAGTCCTCCCAGGTCACCACCGCGTGGCAGGCCGATCTGACTCCCGCCAGCGAGGCCCTCTGGGCCCTCCCAGGACACGCACCCAGGTCACAAACGAGCCGCAAACAGCGACGAACCCAACGCATATTCTTCGCGCCGTAGATGTTTCAGGGGTCCGCCGATGTGGTTCGTTCAATCCGCAGCCCTGGGCGCAGAACCCTTCCGTACGTTCCAGACGCGTTTCTGGTGGTCCCTGGGCTCGACTGTCCGCGCCGTTAACAAATCGAGACGGAGGGTTCCACGATACCTGGCATCCGGAGTGCGCTTGTGGGCCTTTGGACCGTCGAACGCGGGTCCCAGTGTCCAAAACGTTTGCCTCATACTGACCCCGCGCGTTTTCCACGGCCGCGCAGAGTGGGTTCGAGGAGAGGTAGCTAAGGAGGAGGAGCAGGAGGAGGAGGAGGAGGAGGAGGAGGAGGAGGAGCGGGAGGAGGAGGAGCAGGAGCAGGAGCAGGAGCAGGAGCAGGAGGAGGAGGAAGAGGAGGAAGAGGAGGAGGCGGTGGCAAAAGAGGAAGTGGAGGAGGCGATGGCGAAGGTGGAGCAGGAGGAGGAGGAGGAGGAGGAGGAGGAGGAGGAGGAGGACAAGGGACCAGAGGAGGTGTGGGCGGCGTGGGAAGACGGAGGTCGGCGTCAGGTTTTGAGCTTTTGGGGCACAGGGCCGTGCAGAGCAGCACCGCCTCCCCCCGAACGCGCCGTGGGCCGGCGTGTGCGGTGGCAAGGTGAGCGTGCGCGCGTTTGAACGACGGTTGTTGTGCCAGGGAGGGGCCGAACAGAAGTGCCAGTGCCACGATGAGTGCCGCGCGCGAGCGTGTGCGCGGAACTGCAGACATGACGAGGGAAGGTCGCCGTAGGCGGCAGCAGGATCAGTCTCCAGGCGGCTGGGTGCCTGGTAGGATCGTGTGTGTGGGGGGGGGGGGCCTTTTCCGGGGCCCTCCTGGGCCGTCTGCGGCGCCTGGCGGGCCGTGGTTGGGCCATCTCGGTTTGGGTTAGGCCCCGTTGGGCCGTCATGGCGCCAGTTTGGGCAGGTTTGGGTCCTCGGCGTCATCTCGGGGTGTGTAGGGGTGTATCTCTTGGAGCGCCCCGGGGCCGCCTGGAACCGTCGTGGGGCCCTCTGCGAGGCCTCTTGGCCCGTCTCGGGTCGACGCTGTGGGCCTGGAGAGCACTTTGGCCCACAAGTTAGTTTTCTGTTTGGGGAATGGAGCAATCTTTCCTTGCGGAGGCCATCTTTGGGGATCCCCTTGGAGCCATCTCGGGGCGTCTGCACGACCTCTCGGGGCCCTCTTGGGCGGTGTGTGGCGCAAGGAGGAGGAGCAGGAGGAGGAGGAGGAGGAGGAGGAGGAGGAGGAGGAGGAGGAGGAGGAGGAGGGGGAGGGGGAGGAGGAGGAGGAGGAGGAGGAGGAGGAGGAGGAGGAGGAGGAGGAGGAGGAGGAGGAGGAGGAGAAGGAAGAGGAGGGAGCAGTGTTGGGACCATTCTGGGTTCAATGGGACCTTGTTTTGGGCCGTCTGGGGCCATCTTAGGCTGTCGTGGAGCGTTCTCGAGGTCCTCTGTCCTATCTTGGGCGTGCCATGGGCCAGCCGGGTGCCACCGGGAGCCGTCGTGGAGGCCATGTGCGATGGTTGTTGGCCCTTGTCGGGTCGCTGGTGAGGGTTTCTGAAGCAGTTTGCCCAAAACTGACGGTTTTCCTTTTAGGCGTTGGCAAATTTGGGCTTGTTGGGGCCCTTGTGGGGGGTCCTCTGGGGGGCCATCTTGGGGCGTCTGCGAGGGCCCTGAAGGCCCTTGCGGGCCGCGTGCGGCGCCTGGCGGTCTGGATTGGGGCCATCTTGGGCTGGGTGGGGCCCGCGTTGGGCCGTCCTGGAGCCATCTCGAGTTGTGCTGAACCCGTCTCGGGGTCCTCTTGGGCTGTCTTGGGCGTCTCTGGGGCCGTCCCGGGGCCGCCTGGAGCTGTCGTAGGGCCGTCCTGGGGGCCTCTTGGCCCGTCTCTTCTCGCTGGTCTGGGCCTCGAAAGCAAACGGCCCAAAATGTCAGCTTTCCTGCGGGAATGGGCGAATTTCGGTCTGTTGGAGCCCTCGTGGGGTGTCTCCTGAAGGCGTCTTGGAGGCTTCGCGGGTTGTCTTGAAATCATCACAGCGGTGCCATTTAGGATTGTCTAGGGACCCGTGGGAGCCACTTCGAAGGCGTCGGAGGCCGTCCATGGCCATTTCTGAGGCTGCCGCGGCCGCCAGCCCATTTCGCCTAGACCCCTCCCCTCCTCCGAACCGGCCAGACGGAGCCCCCAGCGGAGAGGTTTGGGGAGGCAGTCTCACACGCCGTAGACCCCGAGGGGTCGGCAGATTGGGCTTACTCCAGTTATCCCGCCCTCCCCCTCCCCATCCCCAGCATCATCGAACTCCTCGTTTTACTCCTCTTCCCCCTCCTCCTCCTCCTCCTCCTCCTCCTCCTCCTCCTCCTCCTCCTCCTCCTGCTCTCCTCCTTCCTCCTGCTCCTCCTCCTCCTCCTCCCCCTCCTCCTCCTCCTTCTCCTCCTCCTCCTCCTCCTTGTCCTCCTCCTCCTCCTCCTCCTCCTCCTCCTCCTCCTCCTCCCTCCTCCTCCCCCCCCCTCCCCCCCCTCCTCGTCCTCGTCCTCCTCCTCCTTCTCCTCCCCCCCTCATCCTCTTCACCTTCCTCCTCCGACAAGAATGTCTCGTGGCTACGAAAGCGCACCGACGCGAGTATTTGAATCGGATCCGTTCCGATCAGTGGCCGAAGACTCTCAGCAAGACCGAGAAGCTCGCTCGCAAGCGCTCGTAGTTTTGGCATTTCGACTCGCAGCGCGACTGGTCTCATTCACTTACCTCACCTCGCTCACTCACGCACTCACTCACTCACGCACTCACTCACTCACCTTCCTTTGCCGCGAGCGAGAGGGGTGTGGGAGCTCTCTGTATCTCTCATTATCTCTCTCTCCCTCTCTCTCTTCCAGCAGCGCTCGCAAAAGTCGGCGGCGGGGCGCCGGCCGCAGCCCGAGGTCGCTCGCGGGGGGCTTTTCCCAGGGGAAATCCCGGCTCTTCTCGTTCTGCGTGGCGCTCAACACGCCCGAGCGCGAGACCGGTGCGCCACCGCCCTCCCCTATCATGATGACGATGATGATGATGATGATGATGATGATGATGATGTTGATGATGATGATTATGATGATGACGACGGCGATGATGATGATGTTGATGTTGTTGATGATGATGATGATGACGATGATTATGATGATGATGATGATGATGATGATGATGATGATGATGATGATGATGATGATGGTGGTGGTGATGCTGATGATGATGATGATGGTGGAGATGATGATGATAATGACGATGATGATGAATATGATGATGTTGATGCTGATGAAGAGGATGATGTTGATGATGATGATGATGATGATGACGATGATGGTGATGATGCTGAATATCTTGGTAATGGTGGTGGACGAATAATGGTGCTCGTGCTGCTGGTGCGGATGGTGGTGGTGATGGTAATGTCAATATGGATTCGATGATGCTGGTTATAGTGATGGTGATGGTGCTGATTATGCTCATGCTGGTGACGATGACGACGATGATGATGGTGATGGTGATGGTGATGATGGTGATGGTGAGGGTGATGGTGATGGTGATGGTGAGGCCTGGCTGGTGATGATGGTGCTGATGTTGATGTTGATGATGATGGCGATGATGATGCTGATGATTACGGTGACGACCGTGACGATGGTGACGATGGTGATGACGACGTTAACGACGATCGTGATGATGGTCATGGTGATGGTGATATTGATGATCATGCTGGAGATGATGTTGATGATGATGACGATGATGATGATGATTATGATGATGATAAGGACGAGGAGGAGGAGGAGGAAGAGGAAGAGAAGGAGCAGCAGCAGGAGGAGCAGGAGACGGTGGAGGGGGAGTGGGATTGGCAGCTGGAAGCAGGCTCCTGACACCGACGGGCGCAAACCTGTAATGGACAAATGGAGCCGCCTGACCCAACGGCAAAGTATAGCTCAAATCACTCTATTAACCCGCTCTGCTCAGAGAGGGCCTCCCTGGTCTTTGGGTGGAGCCAGAAGGGGGAGGAGGAGGAGGAGGAGGAGGAGGAGGAGGAGGAGGAGGAGGAGGAGGAGGAGATGAGGAGGAGATGAGGAAGAGAAAGGATGAGAAAGTGAGACGAGAGGAGGAGGAGGAGGAGGAGGAGGAGGAGTAGGCCGGAGTAGTTGGAGGAGGAGGAGGAGGAGAAGGAGGGAAGGGGCCGAATTCGGACCCGACCGAACTCGGACCTGGCGGAACTTGGATCCGTTGGGCCCGTCCAGACTCCGACCAGCCAGACTCGGACCCGACCAGATTCGGACCTGGTGGACTCGGGCTGGCCGGCTTCGAACCGGCCAGATTCGGACCCGGCCGGACTTGGACACGGTCTGGCCAAGGAGCCAGAGCTCATGGTTCCGAACCACCCGCGATTTCGACACTCCTTCTAGCTAAACCGTCACCTCCACGCTTGAGCAGCTGAACGAAATCATTGCTTCTGGGGATGAGCAAGGTCCTGTCTTCGAAAACTCATAGGACCAGGGATTGCTGAAACCCCGTGCCGATAGGCTCCTCTCGTCCCCATATTCTCCCTGCTGGCACATCGATCACTGGAGGTGCAGATGTTGCCTCTGAGCTGTTTCAGTATACACTTGATGCGTCCCAGAAAGAGCCTTGCCTTCGAAGATCGATGGAACTGTCATCTCCTCCTCGGCGGAAGGCGGCGGAGGGTCGGCGGCAGCAAAGCGAGGCCGCCTCCGCCGGCGAAAGCCGGCGGAAGGCTGGCGGAAGCCTCGACGGCTCAAAGGGTTCTGCGCACGCTCAGGGCGCGCTGGGTCGCAATCCCCAGCCCGACCATTCCCACCGATCTCCCCCACCCAGCTCGCGCGCGGCCCATGCGCGTCGGCGCCCAGGAGTGCCGGGTGGGGAACAACAGCTCCCAAGTCGGTGAGGTGAGCGCTGGACGACGGCACGATAGTCCTGGACCTGGAGATCGGACACAGCATGCCCTGGGAGCAAGTGCGCTGGGGAGGCAAGCGGGCCCTAATACGGGCTGTTCGGGCTCTGCTACGAGACGGACAGGTGTGGTACCGAGCAGGAATACACTCGGGCCAACGCCGCAGCTCTCCTCTCAGACCATAGACGCCGAGTGGCTCATGGAGTTGCTAGACCCTCCCCTTCCTGTACTTCCTCGAGGGCGCCACCAGGGTGCCCACCCGGGAATTATCCTGATGCGGCCACCTGCGCCGCGAAGTATCACACCCGTTCCACTCGACGCACTCATCACCACAAGCAGTTGAGGACCTTTTGGGCGTACAACTGTGAGAGTCTACTACGAGCAGACCGCTTCGGAGACATACTTAGACAAGCTACCAAAGCAAAAGTCTCGGTGGTGTGCCTACAGAGTACACTCACTCCTCGAATTTGGCCTACCCTGGACTACGGAAGGGATACAGGGTTATCCCTACACCCCGCACAACCCGCACGAGCCGAGACGGATGCTCGATCGCCTTCAGTCTCCGCCACTTCCAGTTATATGAGCTGAGAGTATCACATACCTGGCTGGAGGGAAGGCTGCAGGGTATCCGCCTCGCAAGGAAAGGCCCCAAGGAACGCGACATCTACATCCTGAACGGATACGCCCCCCTGAACGAGGTGAGCCACGCGAGACTGGGAGCGGACCATCACGAAATAATTGTTGCACATCGAGACTTCCAGAACAAGTATTGGAACCAATGCAGAGCTGCACGACGAGAGATTCCACGTCGTGCTGCCCTGATAGCCGCGATGGACGCCAATGCCGCCATGCCCCCTCAGTTGCCACATGCTGGCGTTGCTGGGCAGAGACGTTCCCACGCGGCTACCAACGGCAATGGCGCCCGCCTACTGGATCTGCTGCAGACGTTTAATCTTGTGGCGCTCAACACGTTTGGCAGAGCTACAAGACGGAATGGAACATGGAAGCATACCACTGGGCGAGGATGGACGACAATCGACTATATATGTACTAGGCTGTCTGGATCGCATGGCAAGTGCGCGCCCCCGCTCAGAAAGCCCCCTCTTAGCATAGGAGACCATCGAGACCACCGACCCGTCGCAGCACGGATCTTTGTTGGGCTACGGACCCGCAGAACACCCGAGGAGAAACCAGTGCGGTGGGATCGCGATGCCCTGATGTACGATCTGAAGCTCCTGAGAGGCCCTGACGCTGAGGTTCCCCAACGGCTTATTGATATGCGAGTGCATCTTTCTGCTTTACTCAACCAACGTCACATCACGGGTCAGTGGCAGGAGGAGTGCGGAACCAACCAGAGATATGCTACACCCTCGGACTACCTCAACGCCGCGGGGCACACGCTGATGGAGGCGGCGGCTCCTTTTTTACATCCCCCAGCCAAAGAAGAGAACGCGCCCCAAGCTGGCAGACGAAACCCTCGCCTTGATCGAGAAGAAACACCGGATCCAACGACGCATGGCGGGAGCACTGGACCAGGACTCTGACGGCTACGCCCTCCTCCAAGCAGACTTCGATGAAGCGGCCAGGGCAGCAGCCAGAGCCGCGCGTGCTGAACGACGCCAGCGGCTCGCGGATACGGCTAAGGAGGCGAGGGCTGCGGATGCGGCTGGGTACCCACGCAAACTCCGCAGTGACATTCGCCGCCTAGCCCCGAAGCCAGCAGAACCAGTGGTGACGGTCTGTAACCCCTCCTCTGGGAACATGTGCGTGAACGCAGAAGAAGAGGCCGAAGACCGAGTCAGTGCCCTGTGTAGCATATTCGAGGGCTCGGTGGTCGACATGTCTTCTCCTGGTGGACCGCCTGGCCTGATACCTCGGGACGACTCGCGCATGGGCCCATGCAGCGCTGAAGACGTCAAGAGAGCCATCCTCAAGATGCCCAACCATAAAAGCGCACCGGTCCTGAGGATAACCGACTCAGATGGCTTCGACACCATGGCCAAACCACACGATGGATCGGTCATAGAATTGTGAAAGCTACCGGTGTCAGAGACAGCCCCAGCTCTCCATGGAGTATTTCAGGCATGCTAAGCTCTTGGAAACTCAGCTCAGCGGTTCAAAGACGGAGAAACAGCGTCGCTTCGCAAGCCCAAGGGTGATGGCAGAAGCGCGAAGGACCACCACCGAAACATCAATCTGATCAACCATATTGGCAAGGTCTATATGCATGCGACAGAGATGCCGGAGCTTCTCGGCCTAGCCCCCCGTCTTTCCTGCTCGCAGTTTGGAGCGCTGGCCGGCAGATCTACCCGTGGCGCTCTCGCAGTTGTGGCAGAGGTCATGCGCGCGATGCCAGGGATGTCGGTGGCCGCCCTGATCGACCTCGAGAAGGCCTTCGACCTGATCGACAGGGACGAGATATGGATTGCCCTGGAGAGGCTTGCTTTGAAGCGACACGTTTGTCTTGCGGTCGAAGAACTCCATGAAGGCATGTGCTACATCGCCAGAGACATACGGACCAACCAGCCCACCAAGAAGCTGCTGATCCCCAGAGGAGCACGGCGAGGAAGCGCGGAGGGCCCGCCTCCTGTTTGTGGCCGCGCACGACCTCCCCACCTCCAGCCTGGAGCAGAGCCACGCCGTCTCCGAATTCACCGTGGTCCCTGTGACGTCCGATCCGACATTGGAAAAGATTCGTCACCTCCATCTCCCCCCTGGGACTGAGGATGAGGAATGTCTGCCAGTATCCCCGATAAGGTTTGTTGACGACTTGGGTGCATTCACCATCGCCGAGGATTCCGAATCGGCATCGAGGTTCATTTCCTGTCTGAAACGCGAGATCACGAAAGGGAATACGAAAGCGAATGACACGAAAGCTGAAATTCTCATCGCCACGGCCGGCAGTGAAAGCGAAGCTCGCAAACCCACGATCCGTTCCAAACAAACAAACATTACCATGGACGGGACCCCGATCGACGCCGCCTCGAGCGCGAAATACCCGGGGGCCAAACAACGCGACGACAGCACGATGGTCGAGGAAGTCACCCACAGGATCCAAGGAGGAAGTGCCGCTCATGCCCGCC